CCCTCGGTGGGAGCGCCGCCGCACTCCCAAGCGGCGCACTGTAGCAGTGCGCCACTGGGCCGGCCCAAGGCAAAATGTCTTAAGCAATGACTACCATTTAAATTTTCATATGGGATAAATTAACATGATTATTGAGAATTACCTGGAAGTTCAGATCCTGTTAAATGTTCCAGAAGATCACAAAAATGCTTACTGTATGCTAAATTCCACTGAAACTTCTGTTTTAAAACTGCTGATTCAGTTGAAAAACAATATTCTGAAGGAATATTCTTCTAAATAGTTTTTGTTGTTACTGCTGTTTAAAATTATACATGTATTCTGACTTGTTTTAGAAAAATGTCAAACTCACCAATATAATTAAAAACAAACAAAACAAGGCTTTAAATTGTCTAACTTATTTTGATGACACACACACACAAAAAGAAAATCTGTAAGGTTGAGAATTTAATGTGTTCTATAGTAAGTGGAGGCAAAACATTAGCTCACTTTAGCAGTACCTAATCAGAGGATGAGATAAAGCCAGGAGTTTGAAAACTGCAAGTTTATAGTCATAAAATTCCCAGCAGGAAAAATCAGCACATTCTAGGAAAAAAGCTAAAGATGAATTAAAAAGTTGCTGCAATGCTTTGAAATAGGTAGCTAAGCAAAACAACCAGTGTATCATGGAGTAAGCCCTTTGATTAACCAATCTCTCTCTTCATCATTAATAATATCTGACATGGTTTACTGGGAATTTTATTATTTTCCCTAAGGGGGAAAAGAAAATCATTCCAACATGATTGATCAATGAAAAGATAGGATTTGACTTTACAGAAATTTGATTTGTTGCCAACTGTGACAAACAATATAGGAATATCTACTACAGAACATAACATGTTTATCACAAGTCAATCGTATACTCACCCTGTTATTGTGATCACTGACTGTGATGATTGGTTCATTTTTTCTAAGATCCCATACAGTGGCCCGGCCACTGGGACTGGCTGATGCTAAAATATGCTGTACTTGTCTGTTCCATGCAATGCAGCTGATATCTTCTAGGGGCTATAAAGAAAAAACTATTAAAAACCATTTATATATTATGATCATATCTAACCATTAAATCTGGTCCTTCATTTTAAAACATGGTTTTCTGGGGTTGGCCGGTTAGCTCAATGGGTTAGAGTGCAGCCTTATAACCCCAAGGTCACGGGTTTGGATCCCCATACTGGCCAGCTGTGAAAAATTAAAATTAAAATTAAAAATTAAAATAATTAAAAAATAGATTTCTTAAAAACCTGATCCGTTCATTCTACAAATTTGCTTTATATTCCTAAATTCTCAACATGTACAACAACACAGTTTAAAGTGCAGGTATATACCACTTTAAGTACTTTAACATGTTTAATAATGTCTCTTTCAACAAGCACTTACTGAGCAAAAACCAATTTACTTTGCAAATGCTGCAATGCAGATCACAAACCACAAAGCAGATGTTGGTGAATAGTACAGATGATTAGGCAGAGCAAAAGTTATGGCCTGGACCATTAGAAAAATAACTTTAAAAATGACAGACCATATGCTATTAGTATACTACCTCTCAGATTGCAAAATGTTAGGACCAGTTGCAATGGCTACTTAACTGGGTAGTCTACATGATATTAAAAAACTCAAGGAAGAACAAAGGAGAACTTTCTTACCCAACTTATTGGAATATGCAGGAAAAGTGGCTGAATTCTGTTTTGTTTTAAAAAGTAAGGCTAGATGTTAAAATACAGAGTGGCTATCACACAGAGGACAAAAATAATTATACCATATCCATAAAAATGATTAGGGATTTTTGCTCATTTTACTTACTACTGTATGCCTAGTACACTGAACAGTGTCTAGCAAGTGGAAGGCACTTAATAAATACTTACTGTTGAAAGAAAGACTAATTCTTTGAAGAAATATATTTATTATCATTTTACTACATTAGAGGAACATCAATGACATTTAAACAATACTTTTAAACATGTTTTGTGTGAAAAAACTTAAAACTGAAATAAGTAAGTTTAGAAGAACTACTTTTGGTTCTATTGATTATACAAAATCAATATAATACCTGTGTTTTGGCTCCTGGTGTCATTGGAGTTGCAAAATTGTTTAGATCCCAAATGTAGATTTCAGATTCATTAGCACCAGAGGCTACCAGATTAGTCTGCAATAAGAAATAATTAATAACGAAATAGCACTCATGAATAAGAGAACTCAGAATAACTCAGTTCTCAGCTGAAAAGATGTTAGTTTTAGCATGTACATTTTTTCTATTTAATTAAAAAAGCAAAATACATATGCATGAATTCCTAAATAATTATGCATAATAATCCTTCACCAAATTTAAATAGTTTTTTAGAGAAACATATTACAAAACTCCATTTAACCAAAAAGAAAGTATGTCTACTGACATCAAAACTAATTTTAATGTAAGACATTACAAAAAAGCACAATTACATGGATACATTTTCAAACACTCAATCATGCAACCATGTGGGGATTATTGTTTATGGCTTTGCATCTTTGGAAAAAGATTTTATTGTGGGAGATAAAAAAAGGTCATCAATTACTGCTTTCAGAAATAGCTCAATCTTAAAACTATGGTATCTTTCTCAGGATATCTCAAAGCCAGCTTCCAGAGCAGAACCAAGAGAAGACTAGTAAAATCTCATCTTAAAACTTCATATACCTCTAGTTCATTTATACTCAATTTTGGTCCAGAAGGCAATATTTCTAGGTTATCTCTGTTGCATACATTTAGGGTCAAAAAGACCCTAAAACTATGATGTGAAATACAGAAAAATAATGAGCTTCATACACTGACTCTACTATTTACACTAAATACATTCTTCTCTGATCAACTGGCACATAACTATGAAAATAAAGGAATTCTATGGCAGTAGCTACCTGTAATACAACACACTTTAAACAAAAATCAGCAGCCATTTAATATAATTAACGAAGGAATTAGCTATCTAATCTAAAGAGGAGACACCATGAACTGTAGAAATGAAGTTTGGGTTTTTGTATTTCTATACCCTAAGTGTCTATTTATAATACAAGAAAAAAATCTATTTAAAATTTTCTTAATATTCATTTTTTTATTTTTATAATCTAGTATCCTATTAACTGAAGATATTTTTTAACCTATGCATTTGTATAATATTCAATAATGCTCATAAAGGCAATAGTAGAATTTTAATCGCCTATATGTAAAATTTGAATTTGAGAGATTTCTATTTTATATACTAATCTCATTGTCATAAATACGAATTTCTCAATTAATAAAACAGTGAATTAACCCAAACACCAGAGTACCAGCCTCATGCCAACATGAAACAAACTTTTAAAAGGTGAGGCTTCCCACTTGTTGGGCTCCTAATGTTTAAAAAATGTCCAAATGACGTGACATCTCCAGACTTATGGAATTAAACCTGATCCTCTCCATTGAGTTCATATTATTTACCTTGATCCCAGTTCTGAACTTACCATTCTTCAAACAAATACACTTACTCATCAACCTGCATAGGCAAACATTTTTAGCTGTCAATTCCAAGAATGAGGCATAGTAGATATACTTATTTCAAATGAGCAGCACGTATTTTAAGAATTATGAATAAATGTTAAACACTGTCTTACCTGGAAAATGTTCACATCTAAGGCTCTCACTGGGCCAGTATGCCTGTCGTTCTGGGCAATCACAACCTCCTTATCCCCATCTATAATTTTAAAAGGATCATAAAGAATAATATTTCCATTTTCACCACCTGCAATCAGAACTCCAGAGACATCTCCTTTGGAATCCATCTTATGAGGCCCCCAAATCAACTTGTGATACCTTCAGGAGAAAAATAGGAAAGAATTTGAAATTATACATTTAATTTTTTATACTCCATAAACATTGCTTCCCCTCCACTTCTGGTAATTGTGCACAAATGGTAAAACGGCATTTTATTTTTTAGTTATACTTATGTCTGCATATTACAGTTTGCAATCCTTAAAGAGTAAAAACTATTGTAGAGGTAATACAGTATAATAAGTATACTTGAGTTGTGTGTCAAAAGATACGGGCTTGAAAATAATTTTACCATTTAGAAACTGTGAGACCCTGGGCACATTACTTAATCTTCCCAAGTTGCCTTTGGTTCATCTGTAAAATAGTGCTAATCAATCACCTCCCTAAAAAAAAACCTCTATTTGACTACAGAAGTGGTCACTAACAAGTGGTCTGTTAAATAGTAAACATGTTAAGAAAGTCACTGGAAATTTTCTAAGAAAAATAATGTATTCTTACAGCAGAAAAGTGACATCAAAATTATGTCCATTATAGGGCCAGCCAGTGGCTCACTTGGGAGAGTGCTGATAACACCAAGGCCACAGGTTTGGATCCCTATATAGGGATGACTGGTTAGCTCACTTCGGAGAGCATGGTGCTGACAACACCAAGTCAAGGATTAAGACCCCTTACCGGTCATGTTTTAAAAAAAAAAAAAAAAAATTATGTCCGTTATGACACGTACCCCCCCTGGTAGAGAATGAAAGATCATGGGGTTTCAATGAAAGATCATGGTGTTTCATGGAGATGAAATATGAAGGCGACATGGAGGTATACGATGAGACAGATGGTGATGAGTAGAAAAACTGCTAGACAAAACATATCTGGGGTTCCAATCACAGTGTGAGGGCTATAAATATGAGAGGTCCCATGAAACTCCATGATTTGAGCTGTATTCTGTTAGCTAAGGTACAATCTTTTAAAAACCTGCTAAGATACTGAGGCAATAAAGCTTATTTTATTATTCAAATGAAAGCATCTTTTCTCCACATTACTATAGGGCCTAAGTACTTGAAAGGGTGAACCAAATACCTAGTGTAACATGAATCATGTCAACAAAATTCCCTGTGAAATAAATTTCTAAATATAGATAAGAACAAAGAAAAAAATAACCTACGATTCTGAGATAATCACTATTAACATCCTAATATAACTATTTTTTCTAGTCATACCAACCTTTTTTAAATAAACAGTTGAAATAAAGGAGATAGAAAAAAGTAACCCTACTATATACCATAAGAAAAAAAAAATACTAGAAACTAGAGCCTCGCCTTCCTACTTTACATATAAATCAGCAATACAAAAGTCAATACAACATATAAACACTTTTACTTCATAAAAAGTCACTCATATACTTTTTCACAAAATACATCATGTCACTGATGATATTCCTTGCAGTTTCTAAAAATGGCATAATTATAGACAACCTAGGCAACAACCACAACATATAACTAACTAATCACATGTATTTAAGGTTGAACCTCATACCTGTGAGAAGAAGAGAAGATGGCACAAGATTTCATATCCAAGGATGGATCAGAAAGGTCTAATTCAAAAATCTCAAGGGAAGCATTGGTACTAAATGTTGCATCTAATTGCTGAGCAGATGTTCCTATAGAAAATACATTTATGGTAACTACACATGCAAAAATAAAAGTGGGAGAAAACCATACAAAATAAAAATGAAAAGCATGTTTTTCAATTATCTTGCTCATGAATGCTGCATGAGTGGCTGAAATCTCAGCACATAAACCATTGAGCAGATGCTTAAATTACTATAGCAATGAGATTCTGGCACAGGGCTGGGAGATGATATTTTTAAGAGTGGGTAGTGCAGATCATTTTTTTAAGCCTATAGATATTTTAAAGGCTGTCTGTAAAAACAGTCCCATGATTTACTATATCTGCTTGTAGTCATATATGCTATAACTCCAACTCTTTTTATATAAAAACGCTAGAATCAAAACTTCTCTTAGGCTGGCTGGTTAGCTCACTTGGTGAAAGCATCATGTTAATAACACCAAAGTCAAGGGTTCAAATCCCATACCAGCCAGCCACCAAAAACAAAAACAAAATGCTCTTTTTTTTTTTTTTTGGTCTTTTTTCGTGTCCGGCAACGGATTGCAACCCTCAGTGTCACGCCCATACCGGACCGGGACCGGCAACGGGATCGCAACCCTCCATGTTGCACCCGCACCTCACTCAGCCAGTGAGCGGGAACCGGTCTGTATGTGGGATCCGAACCCTGGGCGGGAGCGCCACCGCGCTCCCAAGCAGCGCACTGTAGCAGTGCGCCACTGGGCCGGCCCCAAAATGCTCTTCATTCATTTAAATGTATTATTTATTAGCTGTCTTTTACATGTCATCTATTGTGCTTAACAGTGGAAGAATAAAGATAAAATACAATCCCTGTGAAGTGGGGAAGATACTTTATATGTAACACGTTACAATCAATACTGTGATGTACAAGGTGCTGTGAGAACAGGGAGGAAGGTCATCAAACTCAGCTGATAGGTATCTTAAAACACAAGTATGAATAAGCCAGATGTAGAAGGGGTTAGGTTACTCATACTATCCTCTCTCTTTTGAACTTACCCGTAGCTAGGTAAATGGGATGATTCTGGGCTGGGCTCCACGCCTGCATGGCTGTACGATCTACTTCCTTTAACTTCATCCTGCTAAAGAGAATGTTTTACATAGAAATATACTGAACATGGCATACTACTCTATTGTAAGATGTACCATAATTTAATTACCTAGTCCAATATTGATAAACACCTGAGATGTTTTTTGCTACTTTTACAAACAATGCTGAAATAAACAGCCATATGTACATGTTATTTCATTCATGGGCAGGGATAGCTATAAATTTCCACAAGTAAAACTTCTAGGTTAAAGGACAAATGCAATTTTTTTTTTTTCCTTTTTTCGTGTCTGGCAACGGACCGCAACCCTCAGTGTTGCGCCCGTACCGGACCGGGACCGGCAACGGGATCGCAACCCTCGGTGCGGCGCCCGCCCCTCGCTCAGCCAGTGAGCGGGAACCAGTCTGTATGTGGGATCCGAACCCTCGGCGGGAGCGCCGCCGCGCTCCCAAGCGGCGCACTGTAGCAGTGCGCCACCGGGCCAGCCCCTGCAATTTCAATTTTGATGAATGTTACCAAGTTGCCCTCTATGGCAACCATACCTTTAAACACTCCCCAGAGTAATACAAGTATACAATCACCTGCTACCCTACAGCTTTACCAGAGTGTATTGTCACACTTTTAGATTTTTACCAACAGGTGAAAAATGTTAGCTCTGTATAGTTATAATTACCATTTCTCCTACTATAAATGATGTAGAGCATCATTAAAAGATGTATAGTTGTATAAAAACAATTATGGGTACTCCATGTTTCCTTTCTGTCAATTTCTGTCTATTCATATTATTTGCTCATTTTTCTACTAGGTTGTCAGACTTTATTTTTTGACTTTACTATGACACATCCCCTCACAACCATAGCCTCTCCCACCAACATCCTGCACCAGAATGGTACATTTAATTCATGAACCAAAATTGATACATCATTATCACTCAAAGTCCATAGCTTACATTAGGGTTCATTCTTGGTGTTTACATTCTATGGGTTCTGACAAACATAATGACATATATCCGTCGTTATAGTAACACAACAGAGTAGTTTTCCTGTCCTAAAATCCCCTGTGCTCTACCTATTAATTCCTCCCTTCCTGCCTCCTATATATTAAGACTATATAGTGAGTTTTTATGAACAGTCTGTGGGACCTAAAAAGAAAGGTACTCTCTGTTTCCCAGGTCCAGAGTTCAATATGTGTTAATCAAATCCACTTTATTACATGGGTCTTCTAGGAGCAATCTTCAAAAAGTTCATGGAAAGATTTGTATTATCTTTTAATTCTATTTTTCAACAAACTTTTGAAGTACCCTCATATATCCTTATTTTTTGTCCACTTGATCTGTTTCGGACTAGAGCAGTGAATTAAGACTCCTACTACTATTGTGTTTATGTCTATTTCTCCTGGTACCTTCTGAAATATCAGCTTTATGAAAGTTCCTTTTTAAAAAATACATAGTTATTTGATGCATATTCATGTTAAATATTCATTGTCAAATACACACTCTAGGTCTATGAAGTATCCTTCATCATCTCAAACAATGCCTTTTAGCTTGAATTACACCTTGTCTCATATTAAGATCAATACCCTAGCTTTCTTTGTATTTGCCCTTACATGTATACTTTTTGCCCTTTTCAACTTTTGAACCACTTTGTTTTCACTAGCTGTCTGTCCTAAATACAGAAAAAAACATCAGATTTTGCTTCGTGATCCAATTTGAAAATCTTTTCAACAGATTAGCTAAGACCATTTAAAATGTATTGATCTGGAAAATATGGCCGGTCTTAGTTCTACTGTATTTTGCTATGTTTCGTTTTGTAAATTTTTAAAAAGTCTTTCACTGTTATCTATTTTCTTTTTGTACAGTTATCATTTTTCTGATAATTAGGATGATTTGTATTTTTGGTTTAATTAATATGTGTTTCTGGTTCTACCTTTATCGCTATAATTTTAAACAATTTTATTTAATACCATTATTCCCCACTTCTTTACACAGTAACTATCGAGTCTCTGCTATGAGCACTAATGAAATTAGCTTGGATAATCTTACTGCCTCTCTTGCACTACACAGTTACAGTCAATAGAATTATTCTCAATGTTTACCTTTGTACTACTAAATATGCTTACACTTCTACTAACTGATTTGTCAGCTTTAAATGATTCCCTTACCTACCATCCATTACAGATGTGGCAATCCACAAACTTATTCTACCTCCAATTTCCATTCCACTTCTTTTTATTAGTTGTATAACCAATTCCTACATTTTTAGACATTTAAATTTACAATTTATTCTTTCTTCCTTGTTCTCACTTTTGTTTCAGTCTCAGGTCTGTAACTGAATATACTCAATGCACTCCAACAGTTCTTTCGCCAGTTACCTTACTCATCTCTAGAGGCTGAAGTTCACCCTCTAATAGTTTCCTTATGAGAGCCGTAGACTAAAAATATGCCCTGAGTCTAATATGTTCAAATTGTTTATATTTGAAGAAGATCTTACACATGATAAAATTAAGACACAATAAAGTTAGATAATTCATACATGCTGGCAAAGGGCAGAGCCAAGATTTGAACTCAGAAGTTTAGCTTCAGAGTCCAAACTCTCACTTGCTACTTCCAACAAGTTCAGGTATTCAATTTTTATATCATAGAAGAAATATTAACATTTGGAATCAACAATTAATGGCAAAGCAACTACCACTACATGATGAAATTAATAGGAAAAGAAATGCACTCAGAAATTGTGCTAGGTTAGGGAAAAGTGGGATTAGGAGGTTATATCACATGGTTAAAAAAAGCATGGTCTCTGGAGGCAATCTTCACTTTGATTACTAGCTCAGCTACAGTTATTAGACATGTTACCCTGGACACATTATTTAACCTCTCTGAGCTCCAATTTCTTCATTTGTAAAACGGGGATAAGAATGACTATCTCATGGGATGCTGTAAGGCTTAAATGAGATAATTTTTTTCTATAGAGAGGCAAACAAAGTTAAACATAGATTAGTACGTGTTTTGATATGTTAGCTATTTTAAGAAAATTATTGTGGTTTCCCAAGATTGTTCTGGGAAAAAAATTCCAATTTCTTAAGAAGTAAAAAAAGGACCTATTTTCTTTATATGATTGCCCTCTTCTTCCTCTCAGAAACTGACTGACCTAATCTTTAATAAGTTCAAATTCTTTCTCCTTCATAAAAGCTACCCTGATTATCCAATTCTCACTGATCTAAATAATCTCTTAACTGTTTTTATTTGTAAGTATCACACTTTTAAGCACTTTATAATAAAATATCATTCTATTCTAACTCAACACTTTAAAATATTCTATTAGCACATATTGTTTATATACTTTCCAACTGCCTTTTTCTTACCTACTATTTTATGTGCCATCCTGTCTCACTAATTAGACAAATAATTTTTTTTTAAATCAGGTATTAAAACTTTTACCCCTTTCTGGACTCAAAATTGCTTAGCATGAGACATACAGAACATTCTGTTTGATTTTTGAATGCTTATATTTCAGTGAATACAAATAGACTGATGAGCTACAAAGACCAATTTCATATATAACATTTGATTTTTAAATTCTCAACTGTTTTCCTATTTAAAAAATAGGGGAAAGTATTGTTAGAAAAGAAAAGGTTATAAGATACCCTCAGAATAATTTCAAAATAAAAATAGTTATATTAAAAAAAAAAAAAAAAAACAACTAGGGGCCGGCCCTTGGCTCAGGAGAGTGTGGTGCTGATAACACCAAGGCCACGGATTCAGATCCCTATATAGGGATGGCTGGTTAGCTCACTTGGGAGAGTGTGGTTCTCACAACACCAAGTCAAAGGTTAAGATCCCCTTACCGGTCATCTTTAAAAAAAAAAAAAAAGAAAAAGAAAAAAAACCGAATGGAACTACAGTATCTCTGAGAGCAAAGGTACAACAAAGGCTACCTAATTCATGATGATTAGTTAATGTGCAACGACAACTGAAAGAGAAGAGACAAATTTACAAGAACATAGACTAAGTGGGAATTCAAAGCATTTATAAAAGTTTATTTCTTAGTCCTAGTACTCAGTGTTCCACTTACTGACCTGTACTGAATACAAGGCTTCACTGTCATCTGTTTAAAAAAATCACTATATTCTAACAATGGCCTAGAACTACATTATGTAGTCTGCATCTAATTAAACAAGAAAACCATAATCTACCTATTGCAATCATCCTCAAAATTATTAAGAATGCTATGGAAATACAGTTTCATTGGATACTTGTGTATTTTATTCTCTTAAAAATTATCACTCATTTAGGTGTAAATGATATTCTTGAAAACAGGAAGAGGGTTTAGGTTAAACTATATATACTTCCCAAGTGAGACCTGCTTTAAAACCTAAGTGTAATTTTTAAAACATTACATGTGATTAGATTTCACTCTACACATACTTGTTTCATTCGAGATTATTTTACACAGAACATAATCACTATGAAAATACAAAAAGAAAATTATGAAAGTAATGGCTTGTTCACATATGTCATCTATAGCACAGCAGTTAAAAGCATGGGTCTGGGGCTGACAGCCTGGGCTTAAATCCCAGCTCCACCATATCCTATCTCTGACTTTGGTCAGGTAACTTTACCTATGTGTGACTTGGCTCCCTCCTCAGTAATATAAGGATAATATCAGTATCTACACCATTGGATTGCTGTGAGATTGCTGTGAGAACAGTGCCTGGTACATAGTAAATAAATGCACGTAAGTGACAGCTATTACAAAAGTCACAATTTAAAATGTCTATTGCAATGAATCTTCAAGAACACATCTACTGGCTGCCCTGTTAACTCAGTTGGTTAAAGCACAACCTTACAACACCAAGTTCATGGGTCTGGATCCCTGTATCCACCAGCTGCCAAAAAATATATATATAAATATCTGTCTAATTAAAGAAAATTTATGTTCTAGACTAGAAGTGTTACTTTTCATTCAACTTGCTCTCCACAATAATTTAATAACTGCATTCAATTAAATTCACTCAAAAAAGAAACTTTCTTTCCG